GCATAGAACTTCTTGTTTTCCCACTCAGGTTTTATTGACTTTTAACTTATTTTTTAGCTTCCAGTGTTAAAGTAGCGTCCACTGTTAAAGTAAGACAAAGGTTCTGCATACTGGATAGAATACAAATTATAATAATATGTGTGTATATGTATATATACATATACACTCTCTCCTAAAAACTGAACATTTACAAGACTTGGGGAAAGACCCATATGTCTTTATCAAGTGGCATCTACAGAAAGCCTCACTGGTCCTAAGCATGCACTGGGAATGCTGCTGGGCACAAAAATCATAGAACCAGCATGAGAATTAGATTAAAATAAGAAACTCATGCCCTGTGAATTTAAATACTTTTCTCCTGTCTGTTTTGGAGTCTTCTGGAGAAGCAACGATTTTTTTTTCTTTTCTCCCCCTCCCCCCCCAAATCCCTAAACAAAAGCAGATATTCTGCTCTCAACTCCCATTTGAGATTGCGGAGAAAAAATTGTAGCACTATGCAATTTCAAGGGCTGGCAACATTATATCACCTGTTTTCTTGTGGTATCCAAAAAATAAGTTTTTGCATCTCAATTCCCAACAATTCAGATGCTGGCATCTTTGCGAATTTGAATTCTGTTTTCCTCCATGTTCCTCAGCCCACACAACCAAGTCTTCCTCCAGCAGGTGGAGATACAAATACAATGAGAATTTTCAGATTAAAAAAACCCCACTGTGCTCTACAACCCGGCAAAGAAATGGACAGGCCCAAATTTGACAGTACTCAGATCTCACTGCTCTGTTGTCTCTTAACTTCATTTAGAGCTGTATAAGGTTTTCACAAATTAAACCACTATCTAGCCTCAATGACTTAATAGAACTTTTAGTATCTCACAGATAATTTAGTTCCTTAAAGTTTAGACAAAAATAGCTGGAGACAGAGTTACTATTTTTCTCACTACAGGAAAACTAACTGCAAAAGCACTGGGCATTAGATGTTGGAGAATATGGGTGGGGGGAAGCAGTTATCAGTGCAACAACCACTGGGAGATGATTCAGCTGGTGTTTGTGTCTCACAGTCCTGACACTGATCTGCGACTCACAGACTTTCTCCATTTTAATGTTTAGATACTCTTGGCCTTTTTTCTTAGTGTGTTAAAATGACATTACACACATTTTACAGGAGAAGACATAACCCAGAGGTTTTGACTTGCCCGCTCTAACAACACAAATGAGGGGCAGCTCCAGCATTTTGAATTAAGCACTCTCAAGACTTCCAACCCCTGCTCACAAGCACATCTCTTCCTACGAGATCACACCTGCAGCTTACTCCTTTGTGCTGTCCTGCTTTCAAGTTTTAACATTCATTCAAAAATCATGCTGAAGAAATCACCGACAGATCGTGTCCTCTGGACTGAAGCACAGAGTGCAATCCCAGGGTTTGTTGTGCATGTGGATTATTCTGGGTGGTTTGTGCACTGACTCACAACTAAGAAATGGCCTAAGCTCTTACCAAGCTATTTAGATAAGGAAGAAAGATAGAAAACAGATCATCTGTGGTACTTAAGTAAATCTGAATTAGGGGACAAGTAGATTTGGTCCCAAAGGATGTTTCAAGTTTCTGAGGATATCAGATGGTGACAGATAAACCAAACAACCTGCATCCTGTTTTATTTATTTGCAGTCTATCTTGTCAGTCTGGAAGGTCGTCTAGAGTTTCATAACATTCTATATTTTCTTTTAGATACTACCCTGTGTAAGCAGAGCAGGGGAAGGTGTAGCCCTCTTTAGAAAAGAAATATAGCTAAGTAGAGGACAATATAGGGCATCTCTCAACAGGCACTGGGAGGCTACTAAGTCACTACATACTCATTGCAAATGTATGTGGCATGGCAGTAGATAAGAGAAAAAACGTGGCTGTCTTCCCAGTGACCTGATGAACTGACAGATGGGACAGCAGTTCACAGTTTCATACTCTGCTTTTCCTATCATGGATACTGAGAGGTTGAGGGGAGAGAATGAGCTTCTCAAATGAATCTGAAGACATGTGAGGGACAACTCACTGAAAGCCATTTAGATACACAAAGAGTACAACCAGACATCACAAAAAAAACCCAGACACAAGTTCCTCAAAGCTATCCCAACATTTCTTAATCTCCCACATATGGGAAGTCCGCATTTTGTTGTGATTCTTTGGTCAGAATTCTTCAATCACTGTCTTGCTAAAATTACTCTGCATAGCAGCACGGTCCCTCAGCACTGCCAGGCGCTGCTTGCTGGTTTTGGAACCAGGCACCATGAAGAAGCTGGAGCTGCAACATTCAGAAGATTCAGTTTTCTCCTCTGACTTTGGAAATCTGTTCTCTGTTAACTCCACATCTGCTGCAGGGAGGTGGCAGCAAGCCTTCCACAGCTCCAGCTTGCTTTCAGGTCAATGACCTTAAAGAAATGGGGTTGCCTACAGATTGTGGTATCAGGGGTTATATAAATATGTAAAACTTGAGGAAATATGGGAGAGGCATTTGCTAGAGATGGCAAACTAACATAATGTTAAAAATCCAACTATTTTCCATGCTGCTAAGAAGTAACTCCTTTTTTCCATGAAAGACCAGAGGAAATTCGCTGGATTACTACTGGGAATATAAATGCATTTTCAAAGAAAACCAGGTATCAACCCCAGAAGCCTTTCCCCATTTTTCCCTTAGACATCAGCCTACCCCAGCAGCCAGCCCAGGCCGATAGCCAGTGCTCTTCCATTACAGGCTGAGCAATCTCATCAACAGTTAAGAAACCACGTGTAACAAGTGCAGGACTAAGAAAGTGACAGGCCCTGTTAGAATAAGATTTCTTGAATGAAACAATACACTGCTGATGGCTCTTAATTTAAAGCCCTGATACCCATTTAGATTTGATTTGTCAGAATGTGCTGGAAATGTCCAATCTAATTTTATCATTTATTTCCCCAGCAGAATCTCTGATCCTCTGTTTTTAACCAAAACCATGTAAGAGGCTTTGTTCACTGCTTTACCTTAATTTTGAAAACTTGAAATGAGTTTGGCACATGCATGAAGACTGAAACTGACATTTGATTGCTGCCACCACAATCTATTGGACCACAATCTATCTACAGCCTGTGGTGCAGTTCTCCACACTGCCCCTTGGTTAACTTCCCCATAGAAAGGACATTGAAAAGCAGAGTCTAAATACAGGATTTTGAGCTGAGAGCTGCAATAAGCATAAAGAGCACTCCCTACAGGGGTGTTTTACCACACTGTTTTGGGACATCTCTGCACTTTTGGTACAGAGACACTGCAGCTGGGTCGGTATATGGTAACCCAGCACCAGAGGTGTCAAGAGCATGGAGCAGATACACAGTTGCACTAGCTCCAATATTTGAAACCTGAAAATGCATTTTTTGCTTGCTACAATCAAAGGTAAATTGCATATATATCTTTTTAGTCTGTAAGTCAAGGTAAACTATTGAGGATGCAGAGCAGCTCAGCTCTATGGCTGGTTGGAGGTAAAAATGTAAACTCTGCCTTGAACTCCTGCTGCCAGGCTGCAGAAATTAAGTTTCTGATCACAAGGCTCCACTGCTATTCTCTGAACTGCACTAACACCAGCCCAGTTCTCAAAACACAGGCAGTGCTTGTAGAAATATGAAATACATGAGCCTGAAAGACACAGGCTTCCAGAAAAACTGATAGTTTAGAATAGTTTAGAAGAACTGATAGTTTAGAAACTGCATCTGGAGTGAAAACTCCTCATGTTTAAGTAGAAGGAAGGGAAAGTCCTGGAGTCTCCGGCTAAGGATCCATCTCCACAGCTGCAAGAAGCATTTGTGTTATTGGAGGCATCACTCAGGGCATGAGGCCTCCAGCATCTGTAACAGGACGTGGATTGAATTGAATGGGAAACAATTAAGTCCAAGTCAGCCACAGACTCCTTGGTTAACTCAAGGAAGATGAAAAGCCTAGGGATCTAGGAGGAGGTGGAGTTCTCAACTCTACCTCCAACTCCCCTATCAAACCTCCAGGGCAAGCTGCCAAGTCATTAAGCCCCACTGCCAGGAAGGTGGGAACTCAAACTAATAAGAAACCCGACAGTTTTTCAATAAAATATCTTGCTAAAACTAGGACATCTCTGCAATTTTGCAGAGGATGCTGAATAAGCACAAAACATCCTTGCAGGGGAAATTTCTCCCCAGACCACTGGCACACTTAGTAAATCCTAGACACTTAGCCAAAGAGACATGGAGATGTAACACACTTTTAAAAGGCAAAGGAAAACCAAGAAATTAAAACCACTTGGGATTAGCACTGCTCTAAAGAATGAGTTCATACTGTCTCTGCTCCCAAATTAGATTGTTGCTTTAAGCACCACAGCTAAACTAATTATGTATTCTCACCAGAAATATGCCATTAATATCAGATGCAAACAGATAGCCTTGTCCTGCACAACGAACAGTGTGGCTTTCTCCATTTCAAAATATTAATTCCTCTGTAATGCAGAAAATTTTAAGAGTTTTAAAGCATTTTAGAGTGTCATGAAAAAGGCTATATGACTAATCAGAAACAGCAAAAACAGAAACAAGATTAAGATATTGCAATTCAATTTCCTAGAAAATAATGTGCCACCAGCTGTGTCAACTCTCTTGCAGCTAAAACAAATATTCTGAAAACAAGCAGGCAGCTGATTTACACTGTAGCATGTCTCCTCAGCAGTCAGGCCTCCCAGGAAAGCTCTCGAGCTGTCTCCTAGACTGTACAAGAGCTTTAAAGATGGTCATACAACAAACTCATTTGATAAACAGAACTCTGAGTGATCTTTAATTTTTATGTTCAACTCATTAACTCTGAGCTCCTGCTGACACACCCAGTCACTCCTGCCTCACACACTATATGGTCCCTGGACGCAACGAATAACCAGCACAGCGAGCACTTATTCTTCTGGCATACCAGACAAGACACATGCAGACTCCAGCAGCTGGACTCTGGTTTTCTCTCCTACAGAGAGAGGCCTACCTGCTGATTCCAGTGACAGGCACTGTGCATTCTGTAGAGTTTCCTCTTCTGGAAACTATGAAGCGGCCTTGTACGGGCAGATGTGCTCACATTAGTCACAGAGACAGATCTTAGTCTTGTCCTGTCTCTTTTTCTTTTCTTGATGTGCTGATGATCAAGCAACCAGCTGCTTGAAGAGGATACCTCTCTGTTGTCTGAAGCTCTGCAATTGCATGATTAATGGGGGGAAAAAAATACAAGAAGTTAAATATGTTCCACATGCAGAGGCCAAGACTTCACACACTGATTAGCATTAGCTATCTAATTCTAAGAAATGTTATAAACACGAAAATGTTTTAGCTCAGTGTTTCACGGAACTGTGTATGTGCTTTGTTTGTTGATGAATTGTATGATCAGGAAAGGAAGTTTATTGCCCTTATTCACTTTTCTGTTCATAGAAACAAATGTCAAAATGAAGCCCTCAAGCATATAACGGGGTTTGATTTCTCCAAATTCAAGAACTCTCTTTCAAACACTTTTAACAACACCTCTGAGTTTTAAGTTACAATTAATATTTCCCTTCAAACTGACATTCCACTCAAGACAGCAGTCATGCTAACTTAAAAGAGACCTAGAGTCCTGCCCTAATACTTTGAAGATTTTTTAGTTTTGCTCAAGAACTGAAATCTAAGCAAAGCTTTACAAACCAGTGACCATTCAGCATAGGAGCTGAAACTCACTGTAAAGCACTCGTATCAAAATTAGGAACTCTACACACTCTATGGTGTCAAAGTCAAGTGCAAAAACGTGGCCAAGAGCAATAGAAAACCCTACATGGATATGCTGAACAACCTCAGACCACTCTCACCAATCTACAGCCTGTCTGCTCACCAGAACAGGCAACTGTTCCACAAGGTAAGAATTCAAAACACTCTCCCAGTTGGGTGGAAATGACTGAATGGGAAGACTGCACTTCCCTGTTAGAGGTATTCCTGATTTTATTTTGTTGCTGTGGCAACATCCGCCTGCTTGCTGCAAAAAGCACTCAAGTGTGCATTTATTTGTACAAAACTTAAGAATTTGATCACAACTCTAAAATGCCTGAGCAGTGCAAGTATACAAGATATTTTGGCCTTGGTTCATGACAGGTCATCTATTTGCACAAATTATTATTCTGTCCTGACAAGTCACAGTTTTATTAGTAGAATTGTAACACAACAAAACAAGAAAATGAATTCATTACAAGGCCACTTACATATTTTTTTTTGACAAATGGTATTCTTCTAACAGTACATTTTTATTAAATAGAAGAGCTTATTGTGGAAGTGTGATTAAACACCATCCCGTGCTGTGATGGTGTGGCAACAAGGCTTTATGGGCTTGAATTTGAGCTGTCCTTCTGACACATCAGAACAATCCAATAAGCAACACAGACTCATGAAAAAAATGTGCTAATTAACAGAGGGATGGTACAAAGTATTTAAAAGAACATATCAGTAATTGCCAAGAAAAGGGCAAAATACTGGAGCATGACATTCTTAATGTTAACACTGCATTTTTAAAGATTAAAAAATACAATGTTTACAGTCCATGCAAGAGATTTCTTAAAATACTTTATCTGAATTCTCAAAAACATTTTTTAATTATTCACCTTATCTGACAATGGTCCCAAGCTCAACTTCTAGACTTCAACAGGAGAGACAACTTGGACAGGTAAATTAGAACAAAAAAGTTCCTCAGCTTCTGTGATTCCTGCCTTTGTTCTGGTGGTCTGCCCAGGTCTCTCTGCAGTCTCTGCCAACTGCTCTACAAACACTCCTGTGCCTTGCAGCAATGCACAGGTCCATTTTCAGAGACAGCAGTGATCTCAGCTCCATGGCCTGAAGCTCCAGTCAAGAGCAGCGTGGTTTTCCTGCCACCTGTGTAAACAGGCTTCCCAATCGAGGTTTGAGTTACCCATTTAGTTTAATCTTAGTTTGGGTGGTTTTCAAAGTGTGAGACCACCACCAACTGAGGAAGTCATGACGTTTCTGGGAACACTCCCTTCAAAGCTCGTAGGTTGGCCATTCTGGCTCTTGACGTTACTCCCAGGTGACCTGCACACCCAGACACCAGACAGGCACTGTTTGCACTGAAGTAACGAACTTTTTCCTTCTTCTCCCCTCGTAACAAAGTGGCTATCACTAGCTTAAGGAACTGCTTCCATGAGCATCTACCTTCATGCATCTGGCTAATCTTGGCACCTAGATTCAACTGAGCAAAGAAAAGCTACACAGAAAAATGAAGGCACTGATGTAATTAAACCTTGATGAATAGCAATTCAAGGTTACCCACATTAAGTCAACCGGGAACTGTACATGCACCTCCACTTACACTGGGAACAGTCCAAGTAACCAAACGTACTTAAATACCACAATTACCAACCCCAAAGAACTTCATGCTTAGACCTACTTGAAACATGGACTACTGTGTTTTTCACCTCAACAGCCTACAACTAATTTCAAGAATTTTCTTCAGTAAAAATCACTTGTATCCATTTTTCCCCTGAAAACAAACAAAAACCCCCTCCCCTTTCCATTTGGTTTTGATGTCTACTTTCTGAAGAACTGAATATAGAGTTAGCTCTGAAAAAAGCAAGGGGAAATGCAGCCAAGAATTAAGTGCAGCATTTAACTGTCTCCATTGATTGAACACAAAGCTACTACAATAAAATACCTCAAAAAATCTGAAACACACTCAAAAAACCCCCAAGAAGTAGGAGAGAGTGAATTTCCCTGCAAGATTCTCATGACAACCACCCTGTATCATGCTTAATTACCATCTTTAACGAACAGTATTTATTTGCAGATTTCTAAACACTTCACAAACACTGAAAACTTAAAATTACCTATTTAACTCATCTAGAAAGCTCTTAAGTCTCTAAGATTCCCTTCCAACACCAAACTAGTCAAACTCCAGTTCAGAGCACTGAGACAATCCAAACATTCTCACTGAGTCCTAACATTCTCTGGGCTTTTATAGGTCATGAGCAGAAAACAACCAACCTTAGAGAGAGTGGTCCACGAGCAAACAACTGTGCTACTTATGAAATGGAAAAAAGATTGATTTTGGATAGTGCCTAATAAATCAGAAGAGAATTGGCTCAAAGTTACATCCTTAGAGTCTCTCTTCAAGAAGTCAACTTCATGCACTCCTAGAAACATTTTTAAAAGGAACTCTTCCTCAGCTGTCTCACGAAAACGTCACAGATTCAAGACACAGCCTAAATTACTCTCTTCTTTCACATACCCACCTCCATTAGGAACTCATATTTCAGAGCTATTTTTACTTCAGAACTCTGAGGAATCTTCTGATTTTCCTCCACATTACCTGTAAACTGATACATCAGGAGCATGGATATTACACAACAGGACCCCTTCTTCCTAAAATTTAGGGCAGTCACAAAATTGCTGCAGAGTAGATGACAGCTAAAGACGGTGCCCATCCAAGCTGCTCATTATAATCCCTTTACAGGAGGCTACAGCCTCTGCAGCAAAGCTGCTGAAACAGCCAGTGTGGCCAGCTCTCCTTGGAGCCGGGAGTCAGGGAATTGCATTCTGCTGCACACTCTGCCATAAACACCCCAGCTCTAGCTGGGAACAGTTTCTTCATCCACCTGATCTTAATTAAGACCTGTGAATATCTCCATCCTCAAAAATCACACTACCAGTATCTCAGGAAAAACATCCAATGTACCTAAGTCTTTTGTAAGATAGAACTGTAGTCAATCACCTTAAAGCTGTTTTGAGACTAATACTTATTAGAGCCTGTACTGTACTTAAAATCTTGAATAAAGGATGGAATTACTTTGAGTAAAAGATGGACTAGTACTGAGCAATATTCTTCTACAATATTAATTTCAAGCTACAGTCATCCTGGAAGGTATGCCCATTCAGAACAAAAGACCTTGAATGGAAAATTCCTGAAAATGTAGGTGGCAAAGATAAATTTGGCCTTTTATTGAAGACTGATGTGCTTAAAATTAATGGTACTTGCCACCCTGACACTGACCTATGCTGGGACACAGGTGACATTGCTTATGTATTCTCCTAATCTAGTTTGTCACTTTTCCAGAAATAAAGTTGCACTTGCTACAACAGAAGGCATTAAGTCTCAAACAATCACAAGTAGTGTGCTGCTGTACTCTTTCATTACTTCACAGATACTTTCATCTTCCCACTACTTAAATGTACTTACAGTGGCTGCACACTTTCATGATGTCTCTAAGAACAACACAAAAACCTAGTATTTTCAAACTTATAAACAAGACTTGACTTCTCTTGAAGCTTATAGAAAGCAGCTCTCTTTTCCTGATTTAATACTGTAATAATCATTTAGTTCATCTACATAACTTTACCAAAGGTTATTCTCAAAAAAAAAAGCTACTACACTGTCACCTACCTGAAGGAGATGCCATTGACCAGCTGTCTGTGCCTATAGATCTTGGAGGAAAGAGATGAAGAAGCTGGAGACAGATTGAGAGGAGCAATTAGGCTGCTGATGATTTCACTCAGTTGTGCACTCTGGAAAAAAAAAATTAAACAAAATAAAACATAGCCAGACTTTTACCCAGACTCAACAGCTCAAATGTCCTGGGGTTTTGTTGATTTCCTACACAGGAGTCCAGTCACATACATCATGGAATAACTACATTTAGTTTGTTCCTGTGAATAATCAACTGGTTTTTCTTTCACAATTACTGTGTTCAACTACACCAGAAAAACCAGTAAAACACCAACAAAACACCAACATAACCCTCAACAACCTGCCAAAGACTCTGTTTATACATTTGAATAAGTATCACACAAAACACATTAGCGATCTTACTATTGAAACCAAAGGTTTTTAAAGGGGAAAAAGAAACCAGAACACTGCACAGCTGATGTTACAACAGCTGCAGCCAGAGCTGGTAACTGGCCATTTGACAACCATTTCACCAGGGGGGAAACAAGGTCAGCTGTCTATTCGTTGTACATTTTGTTCACTCAAAATATTTTTCTTCTTAAAAGAATCCTCTTCATTGCTCACTGTACTTTGACAAAGGTGTTTTTACAAAAGGAAGTGTAACTACAATGTAACTATTGTAACCACAGATCGAATGAATGAAATATTCTGGTATCCTCAAAAACAGCAACAAGAAGACCCCAGACAAATGCAGACAATTTGTTAAGATTAAGAGCTACTCACTGCAATAAATGTAGCTTTCTTAGAGGAAACTAAACAGAAATTAAATGTATCTGAAATTGCATACTTTTTAAAAAAAACTTTTACATTACTTTGTTGGATTTTCATTCAGCACTAAGAATGTTTAAAACATGAATTGCTAAAGGTTACCCAGTAAGCTTTCCTCACATTTTCATTTTACATTTATGCAGAAAGGGGAAGAAATTTTTTTTTTCCATTTCATTTCAACTCACATATTTTCTGTTCATGTTCAAATAATGCAATTGGGTAAAAAGTTCACATCAAAATAAAATATTCAGGAATGGATACTGAAGCACAGAAACAGTAAGCTAATAACAAAAGGTCTGGACAAAGCAAACAAGATGCCAGTAAAATATTTAGCAGATTGATTTAAAAATCTTAACAGAATTCAATCTGTAAGGAGCAAAGTCTCTACGACATATAAAAGCACAAAAACAATGGCAGACTTCCAAAACACGAGGGAAAACATACATGTTTTTAAAACTTGCATAGCTCTGAAAAGGACTTGAAAACAGTACTAATAAAAATTGCCAGCTTCAGTCACTTCCGTTCTATATGAGATTTTTTTTGTTCACAAGTAAAATTATTTTTAACAAAGAAACAGCTTAACAACAGACTGAAGAATCCTGCAAGAATATCTGTGGATGTACTTCAGCCTACAGCATTGCTGCACCTAAAACTGAACAAGAAGAAACTCAGACCTTCAGACTTAAGGTTGATATACAGAACTGGTAGTCAAAAAGGAAATCAAACCCCAAAGCTTTTTGTGGTGTAAAGGGAAAAAAAAATCTAATGTGATCTGTGACAAGTGTTAAATGAAAAACACCTTTAATTCCAAGTAATTTTCAGATCATCAAAGTTCTTGGACCAAGTCTGTGGCTACCTGGGGACTACAAAACACATCACTATGACTTTAAACACATTTCAGTGAGGCATTTGACAATTAATTCCCCAAGCAACCACTAAAAAGGGGCAATTCACCACTTCCTAAAAATGCTCTTTGGTTTACCTTATGCAATTGCCAGCATTGAGCATACAAATCTCCTGTTTCAATGCTTCCTCACTCCTGCATGTGGTAGATAAGATCTATCAAACAGGGGAAGCATTTTAAGAACAAGAAAGAATGACTATCAAATAGGAAAAACTGGCACAGAGATTCAGGAACAGGCACTAGTACCTAAAGCTACTTTTACCCCACTGAAATGGGGTGGATGACAAGGAATTTATGTGGAGCAGCAGAGCAACATATTAATACCCCACAGTGGTTTTGTCATGTTTGCTTTACACAAACTGCATACATTCATTCTGAAAACAAATTTCCTGTACCTCCTTCAGCAATGTGACCCTGCATGTTCCTTATGTACTTTCAAGCAAAAGAAAACCCTGCTGGAGTCTACATCATATGCCCTGGAATTAACCTTGGAAACTTCCAAACACCACAAAGCAGAACTCCCCACACAACTACGCATCCCCTATGCCTGTTAAGTACCTGGAATTCCTCAGCTCCGAACCTGATTCCCATGATGCCTGAGAAGGCAGATCCACAAACACATTCTGTTGGGGCTCTTTTTGTTTCAAGTGCAATGTACCTCCACTGTCAGCTGTGGAAGTACTTCCTGAAACAACCTGTGGCAACTCTACATTGACCCCAACCGCAAAGCAGAGGCAGGTTTGTGGATGGCCACTTGAATGGGAACAAAGTGGTAACACAGACACATCAGAAATAAAAGGCTAATTTGTAAACCTGGTGTACAATGCAGTTATTTAAGCCCTTCAATTCATCAGCACCCACTCTCAGGACTGCAAAATATCTTCCCTTTTGGCAGTCATCACCATGGAACCTGCCCTATTTCTGCAGTCAATCATTTGGCTCCCCTGACCGTTGAATTTTGTTTTACTTTACCTGTTTTTCTATGTTTCGTAAAAGCAGAGTAGGACTGCTGGGTGACATTTCAAAGTCATGCTCCGGCAAAGAATCCTGTCTCTCAATGGCAGCTTGCGAATTCCCTGTGGCGTTTAATAAAGCTTCTTGGTCTGTCAATTGTATTTGCTTCTTCAGAATGTCTTTTGGAAATGGGAATTCTTCTAAGATCACCATCCCCTAGACAACAGCAATTGAACACAGTTGGTTGACAACAGATTAACCTTCCTAAATCATTTTTAAAGGGCAGTCAAACCTGGTACATCCCTCTTAAATCCTCCCAATGACTTTGGAGCACTTAAACAAGATTTTAAAAACATTTAACAGCTAAAATACAGAAATAGTAGGCATTTTCCTTAATGCAAAGCTGTATCACTTTTGCTACTCATTATAGCAGCAATCACTCCAGTGTTATACCACTGTTTAAACATCTGTGCCAAAATTCAAATCAGAAAGTCATACTTATCAGAGTATTACATGATCCTTTGCCTGCTGATTTAAGGTGGCTTCTCTGTAAGAAACAACCACCCTTTGATCTGAAGTTGGGTTTAGTCTTCACAGTCAATAAATTTTGCAGAGGCATTTTAAAGTGCTCTATTTCTCTTATTCCTATCCATGTTCTAAGTAAAACATCAGCACACTTACTTTTATGTAGTAGAGATTATACAATTCAAAACAAAAGCCTTTTACAATTTAATAACTTTCTTTAAGGTGAGCATTTTTAGAGTTTCATAATTAGAGGTAACTATCCTAAGTATTCTACCAATCCCACTGCTTTTCAAGACCATCTGTACAAATGTGGTATCAGACATGGTGTAACATCTAGAATGCCACCTAACCAGATAAATATAACTTTACTTGGTAGGGAAATATCAGAGTTTCATAAATGGAACTAGGAAAATAATAGCCCTACTGTGTTTTCCACATGACAGATTAGAAAAATAGAAGTGTCAAGTAATAATAATAATGGCCAGTCTTCGCGAGCGAAGATCCGGGGAAGGTCTTTACACCTTCCAGCCTGCGCATTGGATTTTTTAGGTGAGACACAGTGTGCGCGGAACTGAGCCCACCCTTTAATCCTAAGGTTCATCTGCCGGGGCCAAGCGAGCTTGGACGGTGGCAGCGAGGTCCTTAGGACGTAGGTGGGTTGCCTTTAAGGGCTAACGAGCCCCACCTGCCCGGGAGTGGCCCTGACCGGGAATCGAACCCGGGTCTCCACGGTGATAGCGCGGCGTCTTTACCACTAGACCAGCAGGGGCTCCAGAAGTGTCAAGTATAATCCTAGGTAATGTTTCAGTTGGTTTGTTTTAAAAACCTAAAATGTTAGACAACATACAAGCAAAAATAACTTTGTAACAGTAAAAACCACTCCTCAAATAGTCCCTTAATGTGCCATTATCTTGAGCAAATAAATTTATTACTCAGGAAAGGCTATCAAACCTATCTTTTTCTCAAGGGAAAGAAACTACTTGCTTTTAAGTACTGTTACTCAAATATCAAGCAGATATTAAAGGAATGGGAACATTCAATTACATTGCCTCAGATATGTCTTTCTAATAAGAATATTCCACTAAAACCAAGGAACAAGGAAGACTGTCATTGTGTAAACAAAAGGATGCCCTATTATTATTTCTTTAAGCAAGACAGACTTCACGTAGATTGTGGCTGTAGAAAACTAAAGATCCTGTAGTTCTACCCAGACTTTGACTCCTGCCTCAGCAGCCACTTGCCTTAAAACATGAAAGCAAATCTCAAAGAAACTTCAAGGGGAAGACCAGGGGAAAACATGAAATTGTCCTGTTCTCACTGTGTCTCCAACTTATTCCCTTGTTTGAGTTATAAATTCAAAGCTTCGAACGAAGATATTCTCTAAAAACAAACAAAGGTGCTTGAAAACTTGCTTTAACACCCAAAAGGGACACAGAGATTCTGAATGTCCATCAAGTCAGTGCTAGATTTTCCACACAGGTGCTTTTCCATGCAGATGGACAGAAACCCAGACAGTATTATACTATGGGTAGTATGTTCAAGGAAATTCAAGTAGAGATCTAATTTTTGTTTGCCACAACAGGACAAGCTACCTTAATAGCTTTAGACTCCATTAGAATTTAGAATCTTTAGGTCCTTTTAGTAAAAGAATGATAGGTCATGACCACAGAGAGATTAAAATGTCTAAAACCCAAATTCTGAGACCAGGGGAACAGGAAGACACACAATGAGAAGTGGTGAAAAGAGGGACGCACACACACAGGCTCTTCCACTGGAATTTTGATTTTTGGAAGTTGCAGAAACCTGTTTACCAAGCAAGGAAAGAGGAAAGCCAAAAAGAAAGGGGAAAAATGACAGACTATATGAAAAGGTAGAGATGGAATAGGCACCGAAGAGTAAAGAATTAGAAGACTAATATGGACTATGTGGGAATCATAAGTCAAGTGGATTACAAGCAGTAGGCTTTGGCAACAACTGCCCTTCTCCCAAATGGAACTGTTTCGCAGATATAAGGACTCAAAGATCCAGGGCTGCTACTCCTGTGTGCGTAGAGATGTAGAAAACACGATGCAGTAGGCCAGGAAACAGCCCACAATGTACTCATCTCCCTTCCTATTGCATTGTGGTGTTCAAGGAGTGGCATTTTGCTTGAAATCATTGTTCACTGGCTATGAATCACATTTTTTTCCACTCAAAACACATGAAAAAACACTCTGAAACCATTAAACACAGCATACAAATTCTAATGATACTCTGTAATTCCTTTGCAGCCACTAAATGAAAACAAAGAGCTCTTCTATCAGCCCACTTGTCCTTCCCTAGCTGCTGCATTGGTGTATTGTAAACACGTACACAAAAAAGTCCCATCTGAAGAAAACAGGTGCCTTCTTTCATTATGGGATACAATGCCAAACACTGAATATCACAGCTGGTAAAAGGGGCATGAAGTCTGCAAAAAGGAACGTTCCTAAAAATCTCCACCAAGATGACTAGGCTCCAAGCCAACATACCACCTAATGCGAAGAAAATGCTTGACTAAAAGAATGTTCTTCCTCTTATTCCTTGTTCCTTTGGTATTTATTTCTCCATCTTCTGTACCTCATCAGACCTCTGACATCCTAAAGGCTGACAGCTTTTGGGTGTAGGAGTGTGCATGTTTCTGGTATGTAGGGCTACACTAAAACATGGGCATTCTCACCCTTTACCAAAATACAAAATCTCCTTTCAGTTCTGTTGGCACAAATCCTCAAAGAAAGACTTTTCAATTCTTTGGTAAAGAAAAACCTGACTGGGGAGAAGTTGGATATGAAAAGAAAGGCTTTGAGGACAAAAGGAGAAGAGGGAATAATTTTTCTTTATGTGTTCAGAGGGAAATGCCCTCTGGGTGATGTACCTCGTTTTAAACTCCTTTTAAGTCTCATGTTCAGCCACATAAAGGCTGAAGTATCTTCTGATTCCTCTCAATCTGTGCCTATCTGACCCCAACACAGACCAAACAACCTACATGAGACTCATCAATGGAGAGTTAAAGCACTCTCTTCTAAACCCCCTCACTGTCACATCACCAGAATTATCACAGGTTTGGCTTCTTGTACATAAGAATGACCTGAGGAACCCATTAAATTGATAGTTAGATTACTAATGTTTTAGGAATGTCACTTTGCCACTGTCTAGCCAGTTCGACTTACAAAAACTAGTACATGAGTTACACACATTGGAATTTTAGTAATAATTAATCCTTGACCTGTTCAAAATGCTGTACGAACATTAACTAGCTAATCCTCAGAATAAACATGCACTGCAAGCAACAAGAAACCCACCCTGAAAGCCCACAACACAAAAATGAATAACCAACCATCCCACCTAAAAACCAAATCTCGCCTCTTCTGCAGAGGGAAAAACTAGTGTGCTAAATGAGTACTTTGTGTGGACCCCTGAAAGCCACAAGTCACTAACTCGCACAAAAAGGAAGGTACAAGTTCCCAGATCCCAGTCCCATGAGTGCCTTTAGGATAAAATACTTTTTAGCTCCTGACGTCTTTCCCATTAACTTTGCATGCAATAGCCTGCACAGACACAAGGAGTCTAGGGCAAAACAAACAAGAAGGAACCAAATAAATAAATACTACAAGAACCACTACCAAAAGATGATTTGAAACACTCATTTAGGAGCTTACAGACAATACCTTGGTGGCACGTATCTGCCTGTGAAGGTCAGTTAGTTGTTGAATTTTGTATTCTAGTTCTGAAATCTGGGCTTGAAGCCATGTCCAACGGCTGCCAATTCTAGCTCTGTCTGCAAGCCACTTCCATTCAGAAGTATAGCTGCTGTGAAGACAAAATGCTGGTTAGTCCAAAAATAAAGATAACCACATTTGCACAAGAACATTTCTGACAGCTGCTCTGCCTCATGTTGCAAGCATCTCAGTTGCTTTCAAAAAATATCTGACTATACCCATCCAGTTTCACACCAGCTTATTTCTCTAGCAACAGAACTTGCCCAAACCAGTACAATTCATGTTCATTGGTTACTCCCAGACTAAGCTAGTTTTCTGTTCAGGATTATAAAACTCGGAGCTGGATAAACTACCAAATTGTATCAGTTAAGGCTGAATACAGATGTGTAAAGAATTCCAGTAATTCCACCAGCAAGAATCCAAACTCTTACAGCACACTCCCTCCCACAAGCTTTCACAAATACTGTTTGCTAATAACTAGAATCTAATAAAACACCATCCAGCAATGACCAGCTAGATATCAGGTTACTGCCCAAAAACCCCAATGAAGTATTTCAGATTTCTTTTATTCAAGTTATTTTACAAATACAGCTGTGTCAGTTTAGTATAGTCAGGTCACTATTGCTGTTGTTTAAAATAATTGTATTTTATAACACAAAAAGTATGCCTCCTGGTACCTGACATTGTGATTAGCCTAATTTCATTATGCTGAATTTATCACTGGTATCAGCAAACATTACTCAACTTACCTATTAAACAAATGAATGACACAGTGCTAACACTCAACAAACAATCTTAATATTCAATAAATTTAGGCAAGAGAAACACAATGCACTATTTTAGTATACAACTTCCACTACTATCCTATCTTTCTCTGAGTTTGTTTAATTTATTTACAGAAAATGACTAGTGGGCTTTTCCCCACTGAAGTTGGCAAGTATCTAAAAGGACTGTACAAACGAAATCAAATTTCTGGGAAATAAGGGCTTTTACTCAAGTTATTTGGATAACTACTGGATCTAAATCCTACATAACACTGTACATAAGTTCTGCACAGGTAAAATACACAATATCCTGTTCCCCAGGCAAGGAGGAGCACTGAAGTATCACAAAAGATACCAAAAAAACACAACAGATGCCTGTGAATTGGCACAGGAACATCACAGAAGTGTAATTGTTTCATGCAAAACTTTGTGTCAACTACCTCAACAATGAAAGAAAGATAATACAGCACCCTGGGGAAGATGCTAGACATGTCCTGGCCTGAGTACAGAAACACCAAATCTGACAATTTTCAGGGCAAAGACTATAAAACACAATATGACTCAAAATTTCAGAACTTTCATCTTCTTAAGCTATCATAAATAGTAAGAATAGACAGTCTCTGGTACATCACCTCTAAAATACAAAATTTCTTCCCTTTTCAACATAAATCCTCCCACATAATTTCCCACCAGCTTAAACTCTCTCCTACACCAACAAAATGAACATATGAAATTGGAGAGGATATTGAAATGTCCTGTCTAAATCCAAATTCTATGTGGAAGCGATATGGACTACCATCAGAAAGAAATTCAAAGAACTCTATAAATATATATAATAATAAATTGTTTATATTTTACATATTCTACAAGTAATTTTCTCCTAGGAAAAAAAGGCATATGAAGTCATCTTGTGAATATCTATTTTTCTGACAACCCCTTTTTATTTCTCTTTATTTTCCCATTATTACCAGCAAAAATAGCCCCAGTGTGCTTTAAGCAGGTCTTCTGAACTTCTCTGGGATTGACAGCTTCTTCATGTTTGTGCTCCTGGAAGTCATAAAATAACACTCTGTGGGAAAAGGGAGGGAATTTGCATTCCTAGTTTTCAATTAAATGTGTTCACACAAGTGTGGTGGCTGGAACAGTTAGGATTTGTCTCAGGACCCTAGGCTGGCAAAAACCTAGTCCTAAAAAAGAACTGTTTAATGAGGCCCTTATAAATCCCTCAGCTAATCATTTTAACAACAAAAGTTAAATAGGAATAAAGAGGATAACTGAAAAACACCCAACAGGCTGGGTTGAAGTGTTTTTTTCTGCTCCTTTCTCAAAAGGCAAACAAACAAATGAACTATGAAACCCCACAAATCAGGACATTGTAACAAGAAAGCCCAGGAGAAAGGAAATAAATGACAGATTTCCCTCCCAAACCAGATGAAACAGTCTGGGGAGAAAGACAAGCTACCCTCAAACAACCTGAGGTAGAAAACAAATGAGGAAAAAAAGAAAAGTGCCCTTTTACACAGCTGGTAAACCAGAAGCAGAATGGAAAGGGCCGGAGCTGGTCTTGTGTCCCCTACACTGTATGAAATCAGCATGGCATAAGGGAATCCATAAGCAATACCCAACCTTAAGACAAATAAATTATATCCTCTGTATTTTACTGTCTTACATTATAAATAAGAAACCTCTGCAAAGCTACATCACAAGTTATTTTTCAAAAATGAGTTTGCATTTTTTCTTTAAACACATTAAATCTTGAATTAATTGCATTCACTCTTAAGTACCTTATGTACATTTTTGCTTTGCTCTAAAATACAAGTATTTCTTACAGTTTTAAATTGTATTATATAACTAACAGGATTTAATTACACTGTGTAATTACACTGATGTCCTTAGATCCCACTCTAAGGAAAAGTTTTCACTGAACTAAGGACAAACATTTTAAGCTCAGGTTTGGTCTGAGCAATTTTAGCTTCCCTCTCCTGCCAGCCCAGGCTGCCCCATGGCCATTGCCTGCACGAGGACTTGGGCAGCTCCACAGTGACACAGATTAGAGAGCTGCTCCTGAGTAATTTCAACTTCACAGGCAGGGAGAATGAAACAAGTTCATGCCTAGATCCCTTTCCCAGTTTTAATGCCTTGCAGATGGGATAAGAGACTGCTAAACCCTGTTCCCATTCCTGTCACTCATATTTGTTTGATCTTGCATTATTCATTTACCATCTTTGCTTCTAAATCTATTTCTCTACAAATCATTTAGTAAAGCTTGTAACTCCTCAGAGGAAGATAAAAATCACTATAAGCTATGCCCACATTCCTGATGTGAACTGTTTGCATGCAAAGTAGTATGGTCACTCCAGTGACAAATGACAATCTCCTATTGTAAATAAAAAAAAAATCATTAAAACTCTCCCATAAATCTGTTTCTGGGATGCTAGAGAGTAAAGCTCAACATTCACTCAGTAAAGAGAGCAGTTTCAAGGTGGCTCCAGAGAACTCATTAATTCTGCAAATCCAGAAAAGAAAAAAGAAACCAACCAAAAACACAATCACAAAGAGCTACAAAAATAACCAGGCCTGTTACTGAAGGAGGAAGTCCAAACAGGTGCTAAAGTAGAAGCTCCTGCTCTGGTTCTCTGTTGAGAATGAGAAAAGAATAACGCAATTTCTGTCTGACCCACTTCCTGTGTGCGCCTTTTGCAAAGCATCTCTACTTTGTTTCTGTACTTTTGACTCTAACATCAAACATCATCCACAGGAATTCCAAAGTCACTCTTCCACTGGCAACTCAATACAAACCATGTTACACTCACAAAGTGTCTCATGATCAGTACTGTAGTACAGTGGGATATTAAATCTGCATATAAACTTACTGGTCTTGCAATGACTGAATCTGCAGATGATCTCCTGCTTTCACCCAGGACTATGAGAATTGGAAGAGAACAGAGCAACACTGACTTTTTATGAATAAAACATCTCCTTTAAATTGCCCTAGAAAACACATGCTGTGATTGCATTAGAAGCAAAATAAGTTTCCATGTGAGTTACCGTCTTGCATTTCCATTTTGGATGGACTGCAGAGGGTTAATCCTGCACAACTTGCAGGACAGGGAGGGAAGGAGGAAGAAAGGAGGAACAGAAGGAAGGAAGGAAGGAGAGAAAAAGGAAGAAAGCCATAGTGAGTGCAGACACAAATGCAGGCAGTCAAAGTATGATCAAAAATATAATTAAGAGCAGATGTTGAGGCTCTACTTGGGCATCCCAACGTATGGAAAAGAATTTAGCTGGGGATCATCAGCATCAGCACCAGCACAGGCAGTATGAGCATTTCATCAAAGCTACTTGACTCTGCTGACACCAAAGAGGCAAGTGAAGAGCACTAAATACTGCTATTACAGTCAGTATTGTTGCTCAGACTGAAAAGTTTGTGGCTGTGACCTAAGAACAGAATACATGGACAAACCACTCGGCACTCTCACCTTCCCCCAAAGAGAAAAACTGAGAACAAAATATGTTTTTACGTAACCAAACCAACACGGCAGAACACAACAGGACGCTCAGAGGTTTTCCAGTGCCTCCACTGTGTTGTGGGTGAGATTTATGTCTTTCCAATAGCTAAGATCAGCCTGTCCAAAAAAGCAAACCCAGGCAACCTGAAAGCAAGATAAAATTGGTGTGCTTCATACACTTGTTTTTTTTGGCATTTGTGAGAAGGGACAGGACTTAAACCTTTTAAGCATATTTTATTTTTATAAGCAAACAAAACAATAAGCCTCAAAACAGTTCATAAATGATGAAGAAGAAACACAATGGTGTTTAAAATGCAAAAAAATTGAGAACCTGGGATTGATAGTAAGTATCCAGGACGGTTGATTCAAATAGGTATGGTGAGCACAGGAAAGAGTACTCTCGAGTGTGCAGCCCTGTGCCTGCAGCAAGATTCTCCACAAGTATCTTATATCCTGAAAATCAAAAGGAAACTAAGGCCTTCCAGCCTTGTAAATCCCAGTGTGAACAATTAATGCACCCTAACGTGACACATCTGCATGGACAATGACAGGATGCTTCCTGCTGAATAGGAAAGGGGCGTGCTTGCAACAGACCCACATCAAAACTCCAAAAACCATGTTTGCCAACCCAAAACACAGTCTCCTTCCAAAAGGTTTCAAAGAACACCAACATTTTCAAGTTACAACATTGTTAAACATGAACAAGCCAGAGACTAAGGTACCCACACAGTGTGGGTGGGAAAAAAAATCTGCGATTTCAAGATCCTGCAATTAAAGTAAGAAGAGCAGTTGTTCCAGACATCCCCTCACACTTACAC